ACCGACTATTCTCGAGCACCATCGGGAACCTTCGGTTGGAGCGGTCAGGGGATCGCGAAACCCCCAAAAAGTAGTTAAACTCTAGCTATTGAGTAGATCGCACGCGTATTCAATTGAAACACTTTCGTTCAGTACATCACCATGATAATTATTTCAGTTCAATTAATTTCAGTGACTCAACTTAGTTCCAATTTAAAGACTATCAACATTTATTATTGCGCTAAAGATTGTATAACCGACATTAACGAAGTGGTTCGATTCCACTAATAAACGGGAATTTTATCATTCGTGTCACCATAATTTTTTTATAACATTTCACTCCACATTTTCTCTCACATCCACCCTAACTCCAGTTCCTCACCAAACAAACTTTTTTTGTAGACCTTCTTTTGCCCTACAAAAAAGGTTCTTATCACAAAATGAGATATTTTAGAAAATCTAATGTTTTTGATGGACCAAATTTTGTTTTTTCCCGTATTTCACCCGTGGATTAATGAGAGCGCCAAAATTAAAAATATGTTTTGGTTGGGAAATTTTCTCAACGTTACGATGAAAATAAAAAAAAGAAAGAAAATTAGGGGAATGACCTCAAATGGCAGTTTGAAACATTATTTTCGAGTTTTTCATGCCAAAATGTATAGATTCATAAAAACTATATTTTTTTTCGGAAAGTTGAGAAAATTTGAGACGAAATCTATGGGTTCAAAATTTCTTTCATTGGTCATAGTAGCTCGTAATTAAAACTGAAAAAAGAAACAGGTTTTTAGAAAGCCATGAATATGGCTAAAAATCAAAACGCTGAATAAAAAAAAATGTATTGTTGCTATTACTATTTTTTTATCATGCATTATGGGCAAGGTTAAAAATACTTTAATTTACATATAATCTTTATGCACTTGTTTGAAATTAGCGTACACTGCGCGCCGTTTTTGTCGATCTCACCCGTATATCGATAGAAACGATATCTACTTCCTCTATTTTACGCGTTTCTACCGTCAGGGAGTGCGGAAAGTAACGGGAACTCATGAACAAATCAGAAACGTTTCCACCGGGACTTGAGCAGTAGTAGACATAAAGTTGGCTGTACTTCAGCTCCCGGTGTATGTAGCCCCAATGAAGTAAGGCTCACATGACATGTGACGGTGGAATATGGGCGTATAAAACACACTTTAGAAGTTCAACTCTGATATGCTGTTCTGAATACAACAGTTTTTGGGTATCCTGTAGCATAGAAAATCCATAAACTTGTCACTTCTTCTGCCAATCCACGAATTTTATGAGGTGGGGTGACATCTTAATTATGACGTTAATCTACGAATGACCACTGACGGGTTCGATGCTCATGAACACACGAAGCCGATTCTTCTGGGCGGAGCCATTGAGTGCGATAGAAGGGGTAGCTCCTTTTCACCTGAATTAGCCAAAATAGGAGTTGTCTCTATGTGTGATGTCCCCGCCAAAAAAATAAGTGTAGTGGTTGTTTCGGCCCCGATCAATATCTTGATGAGCGTTCTTTCCACTTGCTTGGTTTCATCAGAGTTATGTGAATTTCGTCATACTCAATTTGAATTTGAATTGTTTACGTTGTACTAATTAATAGACTCAATTTTTCATGATGATTCTAATTGTACTCTCATTGCAGTAATCAATGCTTAGTAATATTTTAATTCTTAATTTTAATCGTTCCTATTTTTTTGAACAAAGGTATGCTAATTTATTGATCAATATCTTACACTCTAAGCGTTTACGAATGTCATCTATTCGTTTGATTTTGAACTTATCTGAAGTATTGAATGTTAACAGTTTTAATGAAAATGCATGATGTTTCCATTTGATCCTTAGTATTCGTTATATCTAACCCTCGTGACCCTTATATTTAACTCGTGTGAGTTTTCCAATCAACTCATAGGACGGATATGTTTGTAAAAATGTCGGAATACAGTGCTCAGTCGTAACGTCATTTCATGTGAAACGCAGATAAAGGAACATCCCCACCCGTCCAGTTTACAGCAGCATTAGAAGAGGGAAAGGGTCGAGAATAGTGGGGGGATTCGAGGCAGTGGTTTACATTTGTGACCCACTGCGCATTTCAGAGCGCATGACGTCAAAGAGAAGGATGCACGATAGATATGGAGTGGTGGAAGGTTTTTGAGGGGCAACAGGCCTCGAGGGGAGTGACTGCAGATTACGGAGTCGGCGGATAAAGGAGAGTCCACTGTATCATCAAAATTCTGTTCAGAGTGCAAAACAATATTTATTTAATTGCTTACAACCCAGAATTTTTTAGTCTTCGCCATCCCCTTCATTCTCCTTTGCTCCTTTACAAAAGCATTCAATTATTTGTCTGGAACATGACTGATCCTGATGTTCTTTCACTAATTCGGAATATCTTCACGCATGAAAAAATTCAATAGAAAACTTACCGAATTCGCTAGAAAATTCTATTAGAATTCTATAGGAATTCTATAGGAATTCTATGAGGTTTCTATAGGATTTCTGTTGAAATTTTATTGAAAAATTCTACTTGTCTTTAGCGCTGATTCTATTGGATATTCAATAGGAAAAAGTCAATTGATTTCGAATTTCGGTTCGAATTTTTCTCTTAAATTTTTTCTATTAGAATTATTGGGCACAAAATTTTCACTTTTCACAAAAGTTATTTTCACTGGATTTTGTTTTGTTTTGCATTGTAGAATCTGAGTGCAAAAAACTTTAAAAATTGATGCCCAAGCATTCTTATTGAAAAAATCTCAAGAGAAAAATTTAAACAGAAATTCGAAATCTATTGACTTTTTCTTATTGAATATCCAATAGAATCAACGCAAAAAACGAACGAAATTTTTCAACAGAATTCCAATAGACATCCTATAGAAACCCCATAGAATTTCTATAGAATTCCAATCGAATTTTCTGGCGAATTTGCTAGATTTTCTATTGAATTTTTTCATAACTTGATCTTCATCTTTCCATAACTTGATTCACCGTTGCCATGAACTTAGAACTATGATGAAGTATCTTAAATTTGCTTTAAGGCCCGGGTGTACTATCTTTTGAATGTTATCTGGATTTTTTTTATTTTTCGTAATCCAAAATTCTCAATTGAGTGGTACATCATGTAGAAATTCCCAAAAATTATGATAGAATGATTTTTTTTAAATAGAAAAAATTCTGAACTTTTTCAAAGAGCGTTTTTAATTGAGATTCAGAATGAGTTGAAAAAAGTGGAAATTACAAATATCTGATTCGCTGTGGCAAATTATCTATTAGCTGTCATTTTCCATGGTGGATAACAAAACACTAACTCCTCATAGGAAGTGACAGCTAGGTATCTCAATTTTCAAAACAGTGGTATGTAGTCATCTGCCATTTTTATGTGATGAAAGTGTGATTAAAAAATTCTCCAATGTATTACAACTTTTTTCAGATCTCGTTTTACGTAATAAATATCTCTGTGCAGTGTGGGAAAAGATTTACAAAATCAGTCTTCCCCCTGCATGATATTCGGTGACAGGCCGCCATTTGTCACCGTAAATCAGATACATTTTTCAATTTTTTGTTATTCAACTTATTCTGAATATAAATTAAAAATGCTCTTTGAAAAAATTAAGAATTTTTTCTACTTTTTTTTGATTATTCATTCATAATTTTGCAAATCTTCGGAATGATACAGGACTCAATTGACAATTTGATAATTTGATGACGAAAGATGAAAAAAAAACATCGAGATAACTCTCGAAAGATAGTATACCCGGGCCTTAATTCTCCATAAAATCCCAAAAAATATCTGGGAATTTTTTTTTATGAACTTGAAAATTTTTATGAAATTTTTTATAAAATCAGGAATTTCTCGAATTTTTCAAATTATGTTCTTCTCTCTCATTTCACACAATTAGAGTGAAGTAGTTGGGGTCAGGTGATTCCTTCCCATCAGTTTTATTTGGAAAATTTCACCTTATCCCGCAACTGTTCTTCCAGACAATTCCTGATAGATAATATATTGTGTTAATTGTGCACATTCAAAACTTTGGGGAAAGCATTCAACGATACTTGCAAGTTATAGCCTGAAGGACATTTTGTGAAGAGAAGTTCACGGAACGCGACTGATTTTTGTTGATAATCATGATTCCCTAACCATCGAAATGTTTGTCTTGTGATTTTTTGTTAATCAACTCATTGTAGACTATCACTAAACACAACTTTCATTTTCTTGTAATTAGATATCAACACCCCAGGAACTCGTTCACTGGACTAAAAATTTTCGACACCAAAGTAACTTTATGATAATATTCATTAGATGAAATTGGAGAGTTCAAAAAAAATGCCACTCCATTTTTGCTTTGCGTTTACATAGATTTTTAAACCTCTTCTACAACATCTAAAAATCACGAAAAAATCCTTTCTGGCTTATGGAAATAGCGAGAAATGTCTCATATGCTCCTTTCATTTTTTTTTTAAATAAAAAATGCCGAAATAATGACGCTCACGTCATTACCCGTCAACCCCTGACCGGATAATGACGTACTAATAATAAACTTCAGGGATGTTTAAAAAAAATAAGGGAGCATTCATTACTGACAGTGTAATTCCGATTTACACTTCTTTGTCATTTTTCTAGTTCCACATGGACAAGAATATCAATGCCCCTGTGGTGCTGACTCTTTGAATTTAACCCATTTGTCACTATCAGAAATGATTGGTGAAAAACCTTTCAAAAAGTTTCTAAAATCTATTTCGCCATTAAAAAAAAAAAGCTTGTTTGGTTTAAAAAAAATCAGCATAGTGGCACTTACGCTTATACAGCTATACAGCGATGATGTGGAAGAAGAAGAAAATAATCATGGCAACAAAAGCCTCACAACTACAAGATCAAATGTTTTTAAATATGTTTTTTTTACTTTGCAATTAATGACTTTCAACTGATTACTAAAACTATAGATACTTCAACAGATATCTCGATTGAGACAAGTATTGATGATCAATTTCCATTTTGTAATTTCTAGTTGAACAATCAGCCAAACGGGACACTTCAACAGCACCTCCAGGAGCGTTGTTCATCACCAGAGACTAAATCTTGGTGGAATCTCTCATCATTGCGACCAGCCCCCCCAATTTACCCAACCAAGATTCAAAACAAGACTGACACAATGGATGGATATCATTCTCCACGAACCACAAGTAACTGAGCGCCAAACCATGTATTCCATTGAAGTCAAAAATAATAATTTTGAGTATAACTTTTTTCATGAAAGTAATTATTTATATTGATTTAAAAATAATTTCCACTTACAGACGAACGGACATTTGAGGATGATGCTATTATCTTGAAAGTCATTGAGGGCTACAGCATGATTGTCAACAGATTTACAATGCAATCTGGTAAATTAATCACTCAACAAAATTATCTATTAAACGCTGTCTTTGATACTTGTTCATGTGCATGGCATGTCTTTATTCCGGCTCTGACTTCAGAATTAGCGATTGGAAACATGCAATGGTTTACAGGCTCCTAAGAAAACATGACAAAAAATAGAACAGATTAATCGTGAGTATATCAATTTTCAGAATATTCGGATGAATCGATTAATAAGCCCAGACTATCCTTAATAAATAATATGCATATGGACTCGTTTGATGGCAGGTACGTAAATCGTAATTTTATCTGAATGTTCCATTTGTTTGAAGTGCTAATTCTGAAGTTGAGATATCCAGTGCATGACAATTTTAAGGAGTTTATTCACCAATTTTATGAATTCAGGCATCTGCCGGAGGCTCTTGAGGCCTTGAAGAGCCAAGTGGGGGGCCTCCAAACGCAGATGATGCAGCTTACTAGGCAACTGGACGAGGAGAAACAATTGAGACTTTTGCTCGTCACAGCACTCAAACGAAGAGTCCCAGGAATTGAAAGTTTGGTGCCTTAGACGAAAGACACAATCGTCATGTGTGTTGATGACTCGTGTAATTGAAGTATTCAGCAATTTGGCTACCTAACCTACTTCGACCATTACTCTGACTGAAAGTTGACTGGGAATGAAACAGAACGATCTCAAGATTTATGCCTTAAAATTTTTTTTTATCGCGGTAGAATGGAATGCTCCTTCTCAGACAATGTATCATTTGGACGGAGGAAAATACTTTATTGCTTCATTTGATTCCAGTACTTATTTTCCGCTCGTATAGCAAACTCATATTTTTCAGAAAAGTTTTGTTTCGTGAAGTGAGGAAAAATATTGTCGAAAACAATGCAATTAAATTCATTTTTTTCGTTCAAGGAGAACAGCTGATTGATGATAATTGTTACAGAGTTAATTGATCGAATTGTTTGAGGCATCGGAGGATTTATTGAGGAGTTGAATTTGTCTGCATTGGTGTTGTCGATACTGGTATTTGTGGCTGCGTGGATCTGGTGTTTGATCTTGTATGAAGATGTTTGTTTTTAATGCGTTCCAATTCATTGACCCTACTACGTGCGTGCTCCAATCTGTGCCATGCCATTTGTAATACTTTTTGACTGGCGTAGCCGGATCCTTCGTGTGGTTGTCCTGGAGTAAACGATTGTTCATTAATCATTATAATAAATAGAACAAACTGCAGGAAATAAAATTATTTAGCTGATGAAATAAGTTTTTTATTTTCTTCCAATTTACCTGTTGAAACTTGTGTTAAATAGTTTATTTGTTCGCTCAGTTTCGATTCTACATGGCCCAGGGTTTTAATAAACTGATTCGTCTGTCCCTCTGCTTGTTTCAGACTTGACTTCTCTTTGCTGAGCTCCATGAACGCTTGTCCTGCATTATAATTTTTATAAATTATAGAGAAGTGGTAGAAATAATTCATTTATGATACAAGTGAAAAAAAGGGCACTTTCTTTACACGCTTCGCGCGCAAAGACCCGCCTTTTTCTCATCAGTATCATAAAATATCGTACGATACATATGAAATAGTGTTACTAGTGCGTACAGATCCACTTTTTCGCACGCACGTGTAACACATCCTATTTTTTGGGATACCTACCGAGTTCGCTATTCGAAACGGTAGTGGGGGTAACGTGGTTGGTTTTGTGTACAAATACGTAAAGTTCAAGAGCGTGCGTAAAGTGAATTTCGAGTGCGTAAAGCGAAGTCAGAATTGACTTTCGCATGTTCGTGAACCCTACGCACGCTGTGCGGAAAACAACTGCTTTGCGCACATTAAACCGTTTCGAAAAGTGCACTTTTCAGGCAGGTATCGCAAAAAATATTGTTCGTCACTTGGCCAAAAAAACTTTTCTGGCGAACATGAGTTTGCAATCCGAGCTGAAGGTGAGGACTGTAATCATATGAACTAGAAAAGTTCCTCTGGAAGTTCATTGATAATTTTTCAGGAAATGACCGATAATTTTTGAGAATTAGTGGGTAGTGTTATTATTGTAAATTTCATTGCAACTCTTCACTCATAGAAATTTCCGAAATAAAGGAATCTGACGGCAAGGAATACTGCAGTGCGTATTATTGACACTCAACAAAAAAAAATTCTCTGGAATCAATTTGTACGATCGGTGGAATTTAAAAAATTAAAAAATATGTAAATTATGCCATTTTGAAATAGAATATCAAAAAAGTGTCTTGTCGTTGGTTTTCGGCACATTTTTTTGAAAATTTTGCCAGAAGAGACAGTTTTTCATCTCGGAAATTGTGTTTCAGGATCGTTTCTTTGATTTTATCATTTTACGCTTTTCGATTACAAACGGGTGATCAATAATCTGTTTTTCATGCTCATTATGAATTTTTGCATGCATGGAATACAGCAGAAGCATATGGAGGCATATATATTCTCACTTTAATAACCTAAGACTTTCAAAACTCAGGATAACCTCTTGTCCTCAATTTATATCCTTCAAACTTGAAGAAAATCCGTGTGTACCCATATAGGAGAACGTTGAAAAATTTGAAATCTCTACGTCCAGTTATTGTCACCCGCAGAACCAGTGTATGACAAGAAACAAAAAATGCAAAAGTAATATTCCTCAAAATGATTATTACAATAACATTAAATCTCCTTAAAAATTCGACTGAAATGGGGGAGTGGTGAATTAATGAATCCATCATTTTAAGAAATTATGAAATTTTGAAATTTTTGGTTACTCGAATGTTTTATTTTATTCCGAATGACGAAGAGGCAGTGTTGGGCAGTGGGGCCCTTTAAATAATACGTCACATGTTTTTTAGATTTAGACCCCCTTCCCCGTTCAGTGACAAGCTGTCACAAAGAGGGACCCTCGTGTATATTCGCGATCGTAACATAGATGTGGCAGCCATTAAGTGGTCTCTAAACTAACTACTCTTGGGGGTCAACCAAGAGATCAATGAGATCACGGAGAATCCAGTGATCTCATTGATTGATGTCTAGAATTGGTTCACTTCCAGTGATTTCATTGGTTGGCCCCCAAGAGTAGTTAGTTTAGGACCGCTTGATCTGGTTGATCAGCTTGGGACTGGCTCTCACATGTATGTTGCGATCGCGAATTACGTCTTAAAATCCACGACCACCGCCCACCTTTTGTGGCCAATTCTTCACTTTTTTCATTAAATTGAATTGAAAAAACACAAATAAGGAAAAGAAGACCTTCAGTTGACCAGTTAAACATTTAAATCTTCAGGCGATGCTCTTTAAACTCTTCATAATTTATTTAATTGTTGTCATTACAGCATTCTGAAATTACTCTTTCTAAATCTATGGAATAGTTGGCAGAACTGGTGGATTTTTTTTTTCGTGAGAACACGGAGACGGGAAGTAATAGTATAATTCGATACGAGTGAGACGGAACTTTTACAAGCATGAATTTCACACTCCTGAAAATTGCCGTCTAGCGTCGAATATTTTTTGGCAGTGATGTTACATTCAGCGAGTGGAGGAACTGTACCTTTTTCGTTTACAAGTAAGCGAAAACACTTTTTCATCACGCTGTGTAAAACAGTAACATGTTAGGCACACTTCATGTGCCTAAAACGTATCTTTCCCACACATTGTGATGAAAAATATCGTTCGATATTCATGGGAAAAGTGGGAGGTTTATAGCACGAGCCGAAGGCGAGAAAACACTTCCGCACTCGTATCGAAATATACTATTTCTTTACTTTCCGTTTATGAGTAAACGAAAAGGCACTTTTCGGCTCGTGGTGAACGAAGCAACAGTGTCAAAAAAAGCATTTGCAATTTTCTCGATTCAAAATCAGGGTATCGGCCGTCAGGAAAATCTGGAAAACCGGGAGTTGGCAGGGAATTTGATTGGTTTGGAAATGTTAGGGAATTACAACAACTTTATGGAATTTAAAAATTTAAAGCTTGTTTTCTCCAAGTATCTAAATTTTTGAAAATTCTTCTGTTGGCAAAAAACATTGTCCTGGAATTTGATCTTAAATTTACTTAGAAAAGTGGGATGTTAACATCTTCCCTTGGGATGAGATTTGGGAAACCACTGTTTTGCGGCTGTTCTATGGAAAATTCTAAATTCAGCATTCTACTTTTCAAAGGAATTCTTGCATATTAAGGTGGTGGAAATATTTGAAAAATACTCATTTCGAACAATATGCAAACTGCAAAAACACTGAGAGTTCCAACCTAGAGGTCTGCTAGAGAGATGTTAGCATCATAATTTTTTAGACAAATTTTTCGCTGTACGTATTTTTATTGAAAAGTTGACAGTGATCACCTCCTAAGGGGATAGCTCGCTAAAATTGAAAAGTCTTTGAAAATTCCCTTAACCATACTTCTGAATTAAATGAAAAGTATGATTTCAAGAAAAATTTTGAAGATGAAAATGGGAAATGACGACGAAAATTCACTTAAGGGGTCTTTTCGCCAATCAAAGATAATTATATTTTGCCGACGTCTGCCTTTCAATTTCATTTGGTAAAGGAGTTATGTTATGTGCATGGATCCATCTATTGCTCATTGATTATCAACGTCAGGTTATCCTCATTTATCAACTGTTTTAATTCTCTAAGTTGAATTTCAATATCCCCACTCTATGGCTTTCAAAATGGAATGCCAGTGTCCTTGCTAAAGCGTCTTACTACGTTTTCACTTAAGAGTCTATAAATTTAACATTCTTTCATTAAAAAAACCTTTTCTATGGTCAGGGAATTTCATCAACTTGACCGGGAAAAGTCAGGCAATTTTGTTGAAACTTCCAGGTGGACACCCTGAGAATAGAAAAACATACGACGTCACAACTTAAAGAACTCCCCCCCTCGGCCCTTCGTCGCGAAAAGTCACAAACTACAAGCCGTCCTCCCTCCTTAATCGTGTGACGTAATATTTAAATGGTCCTTGTTAAGCATTGAATATCATGAAAAATAGTATTGTAAAATAAGAGGCCATTTCAGTAATTCTAACTTTATTGAGATGATTCGGGGGGAAGAAATAATAAAGAGAAATATGAGAAGGAATGACACCTCCGCGAACTAAGAACGAAGATCAAATAATGAGTAAAAGACGATCGTACATGATCGTAATTGAGAAGGGGAAAAGAACAAATACGTAACAGTATATTATATCACTAGGACTCGACAATTCCTCAAATTTTCCGAAAAAACTTTTTTTTTACGGCCTCGGAGTCCCTTTTTTGGGTTCCATTCGGCACTCTATCCAACCTNAGAAAAATTTTGAAGATGAAAATGGGAAATGACGACGAAAATTCACTTAAGGGGTCTTTTCGCCAATCAAAGATAATTATATTTTGCCGACGTCTGCCTTTCAATTTCATTTGGTAAAGGAGTTATGTTATGTGCATGGATCCATCTATTGCTCATTGATTATCAACGTCAGGTTATCCTCATTTATCAACTGTTTTAATTCTCTAAGTTGAATTTCAATATCCCCACTCTATGGCTTTCAAAATGGAATGCCAGTGTCCTTGCTAAAGCGTCTTACTACGTTTTCACTTAAGAGTCTATAAATTTAACATTCTTTCATTAAAAAAACCTTTTCTATGGTCAGGGAATTTCATCAACTTGACCGGGAAAAGTCAGGCAATTTTGTTGAAACTTCCAGGTGGACACCCTGAGAATAGAAAAACATACGACGTCACAACTTAAAGAACTCCCCCCCTCGGCCCTTCGTCGCGAAAAGTCACAAACTACAAGCCGTCCTCCCTCCTTAATCGTGTGACGTAATATTTAAATGGTCCTTGTTAAGCATTGAATATCATGAAAAATAGTATTGTAAAATAAGAGGCCATTTCAGTAATTCTAACTTTATTGAGATGATTCGGGGGGAAGAAATAATAAAGAGAAATATGAGAAGGAATGACACCTCTGCGAACTAAGAACGAAGATCAAATAATGAGTAAAAGACGATCGTACATGATCGTAATTGAGAAGGGGAAAAGAACAAATACGTAACAGTATATTATATCACTAGGACTCGACAATTCCTCAAATTTTCCGAAAAAACTTTTTTTTTACGGCCTCGGAGTCCCTTTTTTGGGTTCCATTCGGCACTCTATCCAACCTCATGCATGTGGCTGTGGATTCTACACTGTACCGCATTCGCACTCCTATAGAACATAGAAGTAGCATGGGGAAACCACAGGGCGCGTTTCGCAATCGACGTAGTAGCAGTAGCAGTACTGCAACCCTATCTAATTTTGCTTTACTGCGGGCGCGTTTCGCAATCGACGTAGTAGCAGTAGCAGTACTGCAACCCTATCTTTTGCTTTACTGCAGCTACGGTAGTTGATTCCGAAACGCACCCTGCAGCTACGGTAGTTGATTCCGAAACGCACCCACAGAAAACCCAGGCCGGTACAGGCGGTTCCTCTATTAGCAACCTCCCACTCGCCGGGGCCTTCCGTTGAAAAATTCGGTTCCACGGGAATCGAACTCAGCTTTCGCACACTATAGACTTGCGTCTAATCTACTCCGCCGCCGACGTCGGTTGAGAAAACATTTTTTTACCTCTCAATTTTAGGGTCAAACGTATGACAGTCATACCTCCTAACGGGTTAATTTCATGGAGATCAAACGTTACAAAAGGCCAAAGTCACAAGTCATCCCCATTGTGAGAAAGTCAATTTCATTATCTAATGAGCTTTATTAAATTCTCTATTTTATTATTTGGCGCTCTGGATAAGCCCAATTGGACCATTGGTGAAGAACCATCTTGTTCTGAAAGCTCAAAAAAGCTACCAAGGTCAATGGAAGTAGTTCTGTCATTGAAGAATGTTCCACAGAATCTTGGAAGAAGTCTTAATTTAATCTGTAAACAAATAAGTTAATATCAAGACAAGCGATGTTGACATGAATAATTCAATAGAGATCAATCAATAATGAAGTATGACCGTCACGACGTGTGACTCTCGGGACGTATGATCCTCGCGAAGAATCGACCGCGTGACTCTTGGCTCTCGCGAGGTATGACCTTCCCGGGGCTTCACGGTTTATGATGAAAAGTGACGTTATACGGTTTTTAAAAATATTTTTAAAGTAAATTATGGATTTTTTACAACGTCACACGAAAAACTTGCGTTATCGACAGATGCCCAACCCTGGTGACAACCATTGGGACATTACGATAGTTGTAGGAGATGGCTTTCTATTGCTTCTATTCTTGAAGTGTTGATTTGTCAAAGAAAACAATGGAAACTCAGTTTTAACAAATGAGAAAGAAACGTCGATAGAATATTCATTTTTTTTACTTTAGGAGCTTTACTGTAGTGTTTGAGGGATCATAACCTACCCGCACTCTGTAAACACACGATAATATCCTTCTCAATCGCTTCCAGTGTCTGAATTCGCTCCATTGGTGGAGTCATTGCTATATTTGGTTCTTCAATCGCGATCGACAATTATTGGACAAGATTCGATTTTTTCTAAAAAGAATCGAAAAGTTCGGCGAAGTTTGAATGGTCTCGAACGTCAAACTTCTTACTCCTTTTTGGTTATATCCCTCTTAAGAGGCAATGGAACTTACCATCGGAGTATAAACTGGATTCCAACTTTTTTCGTCGTCGGAGGACTATTTAGCAAAACCCAAATTGTTACATCATTAATAATCTTGATATCTATAGTGCAAGAATTTGGGTTTTACTGAATAGTCGCCTGACAACGAATAAACTTGGAATCCAGTTTCTACTCCGATGGTAAGTTCCATTGCCTCTTACATATGGTTGAACTGGAGGAGATTGTGGTCCTTAGATTTACCCCCACTTTTACTAATCCCCACTACAATCGTTGTCTCCCACCTTTGACACTCAGGGCTACAAACGGTACCCCTGCACATAGGCATATAAATAGAGAGAGATGCATCCGGTACCTACCTATTGGCGATGCCAAAAGTATTTCAGCGCTATACCCAGAAAAACGGACTAATTCGGAACTACTCTAAGGCGAAATAGCCAACGTCAAAACCACCGTATACTTGGCGAATAAATTACATATTTTTCAAAAATAATCAATGTAATAATTAGGAAATGATTTGGAATAATTTAGAAACGCTTTTTTATAATTTGGAAACAAATAGTTATTCAGTAATTAATAAAAAACTGTTAGACCGTATACTTGGCAAACTTTGACCGAAATTAATAAAATTTCACTTTAATCGATGTAGAACAATTTGGAAATAATAGTGAGAATGTTTTTTTCATTTGGAAATGTAATATTGCATCGAAAATTAATAAAACAGGAATGAAGTTATTATTGTTCAGGAGTCACGTGACGAGTCTTCCCCTTCCCATCACTTACCCCATTTACATGTAAAAAAAGTGAGGTTATGTCCCTCTCGCGATCCTGAATGTTCCCCTGTCACGTACCTTTAAACAATCTTCTAAAAATTATGAGTAAGTGGTTGAATGAAAAATTGACGACATATAGGGTGCGTTTAGGAATCAACTACAGTAGCTGCAGTAAAGCAAAATTAGATAGGGTTGCAGTACTGCTACTGCTACTACGTCGATTGCGAAACGCGCCCATAAAAACAAAATCACTGGACCCCTGATAAAACATGAAAGGATTTATAGAGAGGCAGACAGTGTTGGAGTGTTTCGTTGCTGAAATCTCTAAACATCAGAAGCCCAAAGCCCCCAGGAAAGGAAAATCCATGGAGATGAAATACTAAAAAAAAAACCCTCCCAATTCCCTAAAATCAGAACTAAAAAAGCTGGCGAAATCTCCGAAAAATGAAGAAACAGATAACTGGCAGGAGACGTTCGAGCTCTCCAGTGGACGAAATGGGCTGCCACAAAAGTGCTCGGACGAAAAAGCGAGTCTTTCAGATTTTCGATTCCAGTTGCTGCTAGATCTTGTGTTGATCAGTCAAACAAAGGATTAGGTGACATGCGCAGCTATGGAGAGACTCCAAAATTATGGGTGTCCTCCCATGGGTGGATCTTCTGATCAAGACTCCTGACAATGTTCTTAGGAAATTAATTCATCCTGTTAGTTTTTATGAGATGAAGAAAATTATTCAAACCTTCTGAAAAGTTTGGAAAAATAATGAGCTATTCGATCATTGTGAATAGTTTTCTGAAACTGTTGGTTTTAAAGGGAAATGTTAAAAAACATTTTTCAAAGACGTGAAATTCTCTACAAAAAATGTCACTTCATGAATTTTTTTTAAAGCTGTCTTTCATATATTTTGACAAAAGGAATATATCATCCTGTTTGGAAATGTTTTTGTGAACAAGATTTGATCCTAATTTTTTTATAATTTTTTTCAGCCCGAAGTCCAGTATATTAAGAAAAATCTCTAAAGTCGAATTAGCTGAAAACACTCGAGGTTCACTGAGAATTGAAGTTTTTGTAGCCAATAGTTCGGGGGTACAAGTTTTCACACAAAAATCACCTGAGAGAATGCCGAGATTGAACTCCGCCTCTCAGGAGCTTCAGAGGGAAACGAAGAGTTTTGGGAATGCCCATGGCTCCAAGAGCTGACAAAAAATGCAGTCATCCACAACGCCCTCCCCATCGGGGGAGAGTATTGATCGTCATAGGATGTAAGTATTTTTTGTGTTTGCAGTCCGAAGCAAAGTCAAAGATGACAACAAAATCGCCAGAAAAGTTGCCTGACACCGACGGACGAACTTTTTTTTCGTTATGTAGTCCGTGATATGAGGCGTCATGCCCGTCTGAATAAATTTTTTTTTTGCAGATTACCGAGGTGTTTTCACTGTGACGAATATCTTCTATATGAGGAGAAATAGCAAAATTTTCATATGATTTTTTTTAGTTCATGGAATTTTTCTTAACTGTCCCCACTCACGAGATATCCACCGACAACGGACCCTAGATGCGTAGTAATTATCTTAGTTTGCCGATTCACTACAAATTTTCAATTGAAAAAAATGCTCAATGGGCACATTATTCGAAATTCCTTGAAGTTTTTTTTTTCTTTCTCAATTAGAATTTCATAATCATTCAATTTATTACTTTTAAACCTGAATAGACAATGGAGGAAACGAAATCAAATGAAATGTTGATATTTAAGTATCATCAACAGTGTAGCTAACTGATAATGAGGGGAATATTTTTTTAATTGTGAATGCCGAATGATGCGAAATAAGCAGCCATTAACGAGGCTTTCCGGGTAATAGGAAAGTCTTCAATGACTTCAAAGTCTTCTGCTCACGCTTGCTACAGTTAGTGGGGACGATATTCCAGGATTATTTGAGTAGCTCAAATAGATATTTACGAATTTTCATCGCCATTCTTTGTTGAAAACATTTATTGATGATTAAATTATGTTGATAATCAGTAACTTTAGGAGAACATATAATCGATTTTTCTTTAATTTTTTCTAATTCATCAACCTTCAGAAATATTTGAATTATCTCGATTACGAGTGATTTTAGAACAAAATGTCAGAAGACCTTTTTTATAGAAAATGTAATGACCTCCACAGAATATACTTCGCCATTGTCTCTGAACCCTCTAATTTCGAAGATATTCCAAAAAACATGGGATAAAATTGTTTTAATTCCATTTCTTTTCATCAATTCCTCATGAATCTCAACGAAAAATTCTGTATCACCTTACCGAAAAAAAAGCCTCTCCCCAAACTCAAAATTTCACGAAATCATTCGACTTTTCAGCTAAATTGGAGGAGTTGAGTTGGAGTAAAACAAATAACAGCAGAAAAAAAATAGACGAAGAAGGCGCAGTTTAAGCAGGAGAGACCTATGAACAAAATCGAGGGTCAGACCAAAAGAAACTAACAATAGAAATTAATAGAAAAATCTGTACTTTATTTTGTAAATAAAATCATTTCATATCAAGTGTTCTTTTTCATTATTCATTCAACATTAATATTTTACGCTACGAATCAATTATTATTTGTTGAATCTCGAGTAGAACAGCATGATTGATAAACGATATTCGAAAATTATGGATCATGCATCGACTTTCAGAAGAGAAGTGGTGGGAAGTGATAGAACATTAAGAATTTTTTTTATCCTGTTCAGAGTCCCAATTATTTTGAGTGTTATCAGGGGAAAAGAGCAAAAGATTTTTTGTGGGACGCTGTCCACATTGAGGATGCTCAAAGAAACAGATCTCCTAACCGAAACCAACCAGCAGGTAATTGATCTCAGTCCAGCGATCCTTAGGGGGGCCACTCCACCAGTTGCGTCCTTATTCCCTCTGGTGTCTTCGCCTGTCTCTCCACCAAATTGAAACGATTGCAGATGCAGTAGACTTGCATGCAGATGTGGCCCACCTTGAGACCGCCCTGATGAATTAAACCCAGAGTTAACACTGGGTTCACTATGGGTTAATGGAACTTTCGTAGACTTTTTTTCTTCTTTCACTGGGTTTTCCCTATAAACCTAGAGTTGATTCGGAGTTAACTCCGGGTTTGGTCGATCAGGGTGACTTTTCGAAAAGAGCAGTCCTCCGATTGTGTCTGGAATGTCACCTTTGCGGTCTCAAAGGAGGACTTTACAGATTTTTCTTAATATACTGGACTTCGGACTGAAAAAAATTATAAAAAAATTATGATCAAATCGTGTTCACAAAAACATTTCCAAACAGGATGATATATTCCTTTTATTAAAATATATGAAAGACACAGCTTTAAAAAAAATTCATGAAGTGACATTTTTTGTAGAGAATTTCACGTCTTTGAAAAATGTTTTTTAACATTTCCCTTTAAAACCAACAGTTTCAGAAAACTATTCACAATGATCGAATAGCTCATTACTTTTCCAAACTTTTCAGAAGGTTTGAATAATTTTCTTCATCTCATAAATACTAACAGGATGAATTAATTACCTAAGAACATTGTCAGGAGTCTTGATCAGAAGATCCGGAGTACACCCATAATTTTAGAGTCTCTCCATAGCTGCGTATGTCACCTAATCCTTTGTTTGACTGATCAACACAAGATCTAGCAGCAACTGGAATCGAAAATCTGAAAGACTCGCTTTTTCGTCCGAGCACTTTTGTGGCAGCCCATTTCGTCCACTGGAGAGCTCGAACGTCTCCTGCCAGTTATCTGTTATCTGTCTCTTCATTTTTCGGAGATTTCGCCAGCTTTTTTAGTTCTGATTTTAGGGAATTGGGAGGGTTTTTTTTAGTATTTCATCTCCATGGATTTTCCTTTCCTGGGGGCTTTGGGCTTCTGATGCTTAGAGATTTCAGCAACGAAACACTCCGACACTGTCTGCCTCTCTCTAAATCCTTTCATGTTTTATCAGGGGTCCAGTGATTTTGTTTTTAAATGTCGTAAATTTTCCATTCAACCACTTACTCATAATTTTCAGGAGATTGTTTAAAGGTACGTGACAGGAGAACATTCAGGTTCGCGAGAGGGACATAACCTCACTTTTTTATATGTAAATGGGGTAAGTGATGGGAAGGGGAAGACTCGGTCACGTGACTCCTGAACAATAATAACTTCATTCCTTTTTTATTAATTTTCGATGCAATATTACATTTCCAAATGAAAAAAACATTCTCACTATTATTTCCAAATTGTTCTACATTGATTAAAGTGAAATTTTATTAATTTCGGTCAAAGTTTGCCGAGTATAAGGACCAACAGTTTTTTATTAATTACTGAATAACTATTAGTTTCCAAATTATGAAACAGCCTTACTAAATAATTCCAAATCATTTCCTAATAATTACATTGTAAGTAATTACCTGTAAGTAAAACAGGGAGCGTGTGAGAGCGTCGATAACGGCGCAGAGTGGGGGGGAACGCATATGGGGGAATCGGAGGGCTCCGAGCGGTGATGTTCGCTGTCGAGTAGGTGAGGGAAACCTACCGCAGTTCGAAACGCCGACGGGCGGCGGAATCCTGCCCTTAATATAACAATCAATTTCTCCTTCCCTAATGAGGACGAAGGGATGAAACGGTTGCCAATCGATTGAAAATTGAATCCTCAACTGATTGCGATCTGTTTTATCCCTTCATCTGAATTAGAGGGGCAGAAACGAATATTTATGGATCCAGTGAGTCCCCAAACGGCTCTCACCATTGAAAAATCCATTTCTCCTCCCCCAGCAGAGATTAAGGGATGAAACTGGTGACAATCGATTGAGAATTGGATCCTCAACCGATTGCGGTCGTTTCATCCCTTCATCTCAATTAGGGGAGGAGTGATGAATATTTGAAGCATGGAGTGAGTCCCTAAACGGCTGCTCCCATTGAAAAATCCATTTCTCCTCCCCCAGCAGAGATTAAGGGATGAAACTGGTGACAATCGATTGAGAATTGGATCCTCAACCGATTGCGGTCGTTTCATCCCTTCATCTCAATTAGGGGAGGAGTGATGAATATTTGAAGCATGGAGTGAGTCCCTAAACGGCTGCTCCCATTGAAAAATCCATTTCTCCTCCCCCAGCAGAGATTAAGGGATGAAACTGGTGACAATCGATTGAGAATTGGATCCTCAACCGATTGCGGTCGTTTCATCCCTTCATCTCAATTAGGGGAGGAGTGATGAATATTTGAAGCATGGAGTGAGTCCCTAAACGGCTGCTCCCATTGAAAAATCCATTTCTCCTCCCCCAGCAGAGATTAAGGGATGAAACTGGTGACAATCGATTGAGAATTGGATCCTCAACCGATTGCGGTCGTTTCATCCCTTCATCTCAATTAGGGGAGGAGTGATGAATATTTGAAGCATGGAGTGAGTCCCTAAACGGCTGCTCCCATTGAAAAATCCATTTCTCCTCCCCCAGCAGAGATTAAGGGATGAAACTGGTGACAATCGATTGAGAATTGGATCCTCAACCGATTGCGGTCGTTTCATCCCTTCATCTCAATTAGGGGAGGAGTGATGAATATTTGAAGCATGGAGTGAGTCCCTAAACGGCTGCTCCCATTGAAAAATCCATTTCTCCTCCCCCAGCAGAGATTAAGGGATGAAACTGGTGACAATCGATTGAGAATTGGATCCTCAACCGATTGCGGTCGTTTCATCCCTTCATCTCAATTAGGGGAGGAGTGATGAATATTTGAAGCATGGAGTGAGTCCCTAAACGGCTGCTCCCATTGAAAAATCCATTTCTCCTCCCCCAGCAGAGATTAAGGGATGAAACTGGTGACAATCGATTGAGAATTGGATCCTCAACCGATTGCGGTCGTTTCATCCCTTCATCTCAATTAGGGGAGGAGTGATGAATTTTTCAAACGCCGGAGGATCCCGACCGATTCTCCGGCGGCTTTGATTAAAAAATTGGAATTGGATCCTCAACCGATTGCGTTCGTTTCATTCCTTGATCTCAATTAGGTGGAGGAGAAATAGATTTTTCAATGGGAGCAGCCGTTTAGGGACTCACTCCATGCTTCAAATATTCATCACTCCTCCCCTAATTGAGATGAAGGGATGAAACGACTGCAATCGGTTGAGGATCCAATTCTCAATCGATTGTCACCAGTTTCATCCCTTAATCTCTGCTGGGGGAGGAGAAATGGATTTTTCAATGGGAGCAGCCGTTTAGGGACTCACTCCATGCTTCAAATATTGTTTTTTTTTTACTATAGTAATGTTCGATTATATATATTTATTCCCCCCCTCAGTGAGAATGGAATATGTATCGCGTTCGCTCCCACTCATTGTCGTCTCCGTCGCGTTGACACGTACCCGTCCTCCGCCAAACTTAACGAGTGCGAGTGAGAAAGCAAATGGTGAAGGAGGAGAGAGAAAACATTCCAACTCGTTTCAACGGTTGGAACGTTTTCGTTGTTCTCCAGCGATCTACACATAATGGGATTAATTCAATAATAATAGATTAATGAATAAGATTTTTCGCAGATTATTGCGAGATTTAGATGAATGGTTTGGCTCCTTCAGTGACCATAAAAAATTGTCACCAATCGACAATATCTCCCGATGGAGTGGAACGATGNTTGTTCTCCAGCGATCTACACATAATGGGATTAATTCAATAATAATAGATTAATGAATAAGATTTTTCGCAGATTATTGCGAGATTTAGATGAATGGTTTGGCTCCTTCAGTGACCATAAAAAATTGTCACCAATCGACAATATCTCCCGATGGAGTGGAACGATGTGAATGAATCAAGTATCAATTTGAATCTTTAAAAAATTA